GTCTAGGATGAGCCCTGGATTTTGTTCACTTTTATAGAAACCAGAAAATTGAGAAAGGGGGGAGTAGGAAAAAAATTCTACTCAAGTAAGTCCCAGGACCTGCTGGGTTTTTATAAGATTTAAAAAATATTATTATATACATTTTTCCCTTGAGATTGAACACAGGGAACACAGAACTACATCCTCAGTCCATTTTACTTTTTTATTTTGACACAAAATTTCACTAAATTGCCCAGGCTGGCTTCAAATTTATAATCCTCCTGCCTCAGCCTTCCAATTAGCTAGGTATTATACATCTTTTCATTTAACATTTTTGTCTTGTGACATCAGTTATTTTGCTCATGTCTTTTCCCCCCCCTCTATTTTGAAATTATTTTTAAACTCCCTTATCTAAAATGTTGGTGAATAGCAATTTTATGCTGTTAAGACTATTCACTTCTGTAAAGTTTTCCTTGACTCCTTTATTCTCCCCTACCCCATCTGAGTTAGAAATCTGTTTCCCCTGTAATGCCGCTTTTGTACCAAGTTTGAACTCTGTGTTACATCTTCTTTATCTTTTGTTCTCTGTGTGTGTATATGTGTGTGTGTGTGTGTGTTGTTATCTCTTTATTATAACATTGTATTGTAATCTTTATTTCCTGGTCTATCTCTTTCACCCAACTGAGAATATAATCCATTTTCATCTCATCACCTAGCATAGTGCATAGTACACAGGGATACTCAGGAATTTTTTATAAGAATGAATGATAATGTTGTCAGACGTAAGTATGACACCATAGTCTATGTGGCAAGTTGGCATGTGTGTGAGAGGATAGATTTACCAACTGTAATAGAAAGAAGAAAGAAAATAACACAGGATTGAATAAGGTTATGCTCACACATTCAGAAAGTTGCCTAGGAAGTCAGGTCATTGATGAATGAATTTTTTTTTACTTGGCATATATTAAGACTTTTACAAACAGCAGTATATAGATATTGCATGGTAAGAGCAGTTGGAAAAAAATATACAAGTTTTATAATTTCATTACACAAGATTTTCAATGTTTTTAAAAATAATTGTATCTGACCAATAAGGTAGTAAAAGAAAATCCATAAGAACTTTTTGAAAATTAAAGTGAGAAGAAATATTAGCTCAAAAAAGTTATCTGGCAGTACTTGGGCACTGACAGTTACCTATGATTTAAGACTGTTGGGCCCAAGAGTTGTGTATATATTTTTGTTTTTTGAGACAGGGTTGCACTATGTAGTTTAAGCTGGCCTTGAATTCACTATATAACTATATAACTATATAAGTTCAAGGCTGGCCTTGAACTTGCAGTGATCCTCCCGCCTCAGCCTCTTGAGTGCTGGGGTTACAGGCATGTGCCACCACGCCTGGCCACATTTCATCTCTTAATGCAGGCTGCCATGTCACATTCTCAAGCTACATAGCAATTCACACTTCCATTTCTGCACACTTTCCAACAAGGAATATAATCAAAATTTAATATTTTTGTATGTAAGTCAATGGATAAAAAGTGAAAACTCACCATTATGTAATCTGTATTCACTAGCTGCTATGATTGAACATCTTTTTGCATGCTTGTTGGTTATTTGTAAACCCTTCTCTGCCTAGTTATGGTCTTGGCCCTTTTTTCAATTATATTATTGTTGTTGTCAATCAACTCACAGGAGCTATATATTAGGGATAACAATACTTTGTGTATCAGAAAGGTTATCTGCCTGTAGAATTTTTTTAAAACCTTCCAGTCCTCTTCTTTGGTACATGAGTAATACATTAACACTCACTATGGTAACCAACCTCAGAGATGACAACTCAAAGACCTGCATCATCTCCCTTGTCTAGTCTTCTCACTTTGTGAGTCAGGATGGACTCTGAGTGACCAAAAGAACTCAGAGGAAGTGATGTTGTGTGGCTTCTGAGGCTTGGTCTTTTGGAGCACTTACCCTTGGAGCTCTCAGTATGCCATGTGGCATGGGTGACGAACCTATGGTACATGTGTCACAGCAGGCATGCAGAGCCCTCTCTGTCAGCATGGCAGCCAAATTGCCCCAGCAGCCAAGCATTGGATATTCAGGCTTAATTGTAGTGTTGGCATTCTGCGATAAATAAGTGGGTTTTGCATTGCAGTTTGGGCACTTGGTCCCTAAAAGGCTCGCCATCACTCCCACATGGAGACCAATTACCCTAAAGCCACGTTGCTGTGAAGAGCACACGGAAAATCCGAGATTTCATGTGCAATGACTCTTGGTTAGTCCTCCTAGCTACGTAAGTCATCCTAACTGAGGTTTTGAATATACTGTGGTACAGAGTTGAGTTGCTCCTGCTGCACCCTGCCTAAAATGCAGATTCATGAGTAAAATAAATGTTGTTTTAAGCCATTATGTATCAAGTGGTTTGTTGCGCAGCAACAAATAACTGAAACTCTCCTCCCCTTCCTTCCTCCTTTACTTGATGTTTCCTTAGGTGAATACAGAGTGAGCAAGGATGTGTCAGGTCAACTCAAGCATGGGGAATTTTCCAGTTAACTTTGCTGGGGCAATTGACTTACTCATGCTGTAGAGATATATCACTTCAGCATATCTCTGCAGAAGTAACTCTGTCACTTCTGAGGTCAAGGAACAAGGGACCCAGAACCATCTCTACAGCTTGTGGCCAGGCATAAACCCACAATCCAACATTTTCTTTTCTTTTCTTTTTTCCCCAACATTTTAACATAGACAAATATATACATTAAGATGAAGATGATGAAGGGCAGTATTCTACAGAAAAGAAGTCACAGAGTTCTGGGCATGGTGGTAAATGTTGGTGATCTTCATAAGCAGAAGGCTGAGGCATGAGGACTGTGAGTTTGAGGCCAGCCTGTGGTACATAGTGAGATCTTGTCTCCAAAAAAAAAACACCCAGAAAGAAAAAAAGAAGTCACAAAGTATAAAATAGCAGGAGGAATAGTTCAGGCAGAAGGAGCAATCAGACTCTGCCTGGACTTTGCAGAATAGAGCTATTAGCACATTCATTTTCAGGACCTGTTCCTAATCATGTTTGTATTATGGAATTCATCCCTGCAGGAGTGCATACTGATCTATGGACAGTCTGCTATTGACTTCCCAGCAATTTATCATAGTACCCCCTTTGAGAGTCTCAACTAAGATATAAAGACTATAGCATGCACTTGGACAGAAAAGCCAGGAGGAATCAAGGTGGGATAGCTCTTACCCAGTCATGGATAGGCTAATGAGTAAGTTGGTTTGTGGGAAATAGTGATGAGAATTCATGGGGGAAAGAGAAAAGGGGGAGAAAAGGATAAAAGAGTATGATAGAGGGGAGAAAGAGCATGAGAGAGCTCATTGGCTTTCTAGTCCCTGCTTTTTGAAATTTAACTTAATTTAATGAAAATTATCAGAATGTCAGAGTGATGGTGGAATTGGAATGAACAGAAAGAGGATTTTCACTTTTATTTAAGGGTTGCTGAAAAGATCACTGTTGGATACAGGTTTTGTTTTAGGTTTGAGTTTCTTATTACTGAATATTCCAAAAACAATGAGTTTTAGAGATTGTTTCTCTAAAATTCATTTGTTGTGTTTTTTTGTTCATGTGTTGTTGGTTGCTCATTGTGGGACAGAACTCCCATAGGCATCAGAAGGGTAAAACAGATTCTTCTTTAGTTCTGTATTTTCAATGAGTAAGAAACGGACAGATAGGGGCCTGGGGATTTAGCTCAGTGGTTCTGGCGCCAGCCTTGCAAGCGCAAGGTCCCGAGTTTGATCCCCGGTACCAAAAAAAAAGAAAGAAAGAAAGGAACAAATTTAAATCTTTAGACAACACAGGCTCTAGGTTTTTCTAGTCCCTGTTCAATCACTCTCATTGTGACCACAGATTAGTCCCTTCATGTCTCTCTATCTCTGCTTCCTCCACTGCACTATGTAACGATCACTGTTTTAATAGTCTGTGAATATAAAATATGTACTGAGTATCTAACCCCAAAACATTCTCATACAGAACTTTCATCTGACTCTGAAGATGCAAAAAGTGCACTGGGCAAAGACTCTATTGCCTAAGACCTGAAACGTAAATTTGCAGTAATTTCTAATACTTAACCACTGTATTTTTCATCTTGCTTGTGTAACAAAGGACAGGAAATGAAAGGGGAAGGAACGTTCTTAATGCTTAAGTCAGCAGATCATTGAGGATACACACTAGATGTTGCTAAGTGTGGGAAAGTAAAAAGAACCAAATTTGAACCTGAAGAGATATGCATTGGATGTCCTGCAGAGATGTCAAAATACTGTATCAGAGAAACCAACTTACCTTTTTTATTAAATAAGCAATATATGTGTTGGTAGTAAAATTTGACCCAAGTAATGTTAACATTTGGTGCATATGTATTTAAAAGTCTATCATACATTCATTTCACAAACATTTTATTTCTGTGAGGTCTCATTATGTCACCCAGGTTGGCCTCCAACACCTGCGCTCATGTGATCCTCCTGCCTCAGTCTCCCGAGTAGCTGGGACTACAGGAGAGAGCTACCGCATCCCAAAGCTTACTTTATTGAGCGCCTACCATGGACTTGGGTCAGGCTAGGGGACTGGAAGATACATGCCTTTTGATCTCATATTCTCCGTTCTAATAGGGAGATGAAACAATTATTTTACTAAGACTTGTGCAGTTTTAGAGTGATACGTGAAAACTTTAAGAAAGCACAGAAGAGGGTAACGTGGTGCTGGTGGAAAAGGTGCGGAGGGGAGAAGAGGAGTAAAGGAATGCGAACTTCGGGGCCTTCCTGTGTCGGCAGGAATCCCTGTTCTCCCACAGTTTACATCATAAAACAAGTCCAACACTCCACTAGGCGTCCCTCCCGCGTCCAGCGTTCAGAAACAGAAGCAAGGGCAAAAAGACCCTGATAACGAGGTCCAACAACTCGCTAGCTACGGAGCTCCACCGAGCTCCAGGAGGGGCGGCGCTGGGAGGGCGGGACAGGGCCGAGCCGGGGACCCGGTCTGCTAAGTACTGACCAGCCAGCCCAGCCGCTGTTTCAGCCCAGAGCTGACCAGTCCAGCTGTCGCAGGAGCCAGGCGCGGATTGGTGAGACTACGTGGGACTCTGTCTATAGGCCGCGCCGTCCGGCTCGCAGGGCTTTGATTGGCTCAATGGGCGCTGAGCAACCATTGGCTGCGGTGGGTAGTCTGGGCTACTGGGGAAAAGAAAAAGGGGTGCTGGGCCTGGCTGGGTAACAGAGGCTGGGGGTGACTGGACGGCTCCGCGGGGGTGGTGTCGCGGAGGGCTGCGGGGCCGAGACGTCCAGGGGTCACGCTACACTCCAGGAAGTGCCTGCGCTGGTGTTGCAGGTCAGGATCATGGGCTGCTTTTTCTCCAAGGGGCGGAAGACTGAGAAGGAGTCGCGGCCCGAGAGCGAGGAGGAGCGGCCCAAGCAGTACAGCTGGGACCAGCGCGAGAAGGTAATCAAAGTCTTGCAGCTGTAGTCTGTCTTCTCGAGCCCCGAGCCCCGCGGGTCCCCGCGCCGCCCGTTCTTTGCGGCCCAGGAGCCGACCTAACAACTGTCTGTCTCTCAGACGGGAGTAAAGTATGGGTGCACGACTTTGGCGGGCGGGGCAAGTCCAAGAGTCTGTGAAACGCTGAAAGGGGCCTTAGAGTTCCCAGTCTAAATTGCTAAGCTCCACACCCTGACTTGCGCTGACTTCGCGCGCCAGGATGGACTCAAGGAAGAGAAGAAGACAAAACTGCGCTGAATCTCAGATCACCTCATTGCGCAGGCAGCGCCCTGTGGCCTTTTGGTCCAGTAGTCGAATTACACATGGGACTGATTGTCATCTCTTTGGCGGCTTACGTTCATTATGTGGCTATTTCTCTTTTGTCTGCCCTCCCGGGCAAATCTCTTTGGCGCCTCATGATATATTCTACTGGGGAATTTTCTCAGTTACTAAGTGGACTCTTTAGCTTTGCTCTCCCTCCTTTGGAAAAATGAAAATTGGATCAGTTTCAGAATGTTAGGTGAAAGTAACTGTCATAAACCAGGCAGTATTTTATTGTTACTCTATATGAATGAAAACGCCCTTATTTTTACTTTTATATACAGCCAGAAACCAAAAAACTTTGAAAACTCCCTTAGTCTTGCACACAACACACTTAGTCATACATTTCATAATGGTTCCTCTTTCTACATAGTTCTTCATTTGTGCTTATTATTTTGATAGGTTTATAAATTATTTTTCTCTTCCAAAAAATGAAAGATTTTTTAAATGAATGTTATGAACAGTTAACTCTTGCTTAAGGTAACCTATCTTTACCGCAAAATACTTAAAAGTAAGTTATTAATGGTTTGATATCATAAAAATTTCTTCATGATTTCCAGTCTCCAGCAGAATTTATTCATGTAGATTCTTGAAATGTCAGGTTTAAGAAATTGAAAGCTTTTTTGCACAACTTTAAGCCCCACCTTTCTGTCTGTGGTTCTCAGACTCTTTTGGGTCATGTGGTATATTTTTTCTCTTATCCGTACTTGATACCAGTATTTCATAATATATACTAGGAAAGTATTGTGTTTATAGATTACACTTATATTTTAAAGTTAATTGATGGGTGATTTTTGAAAGGTTCATTTTCTTTGGGCTTAGGATTTCTAACAATACTCTTCAAGCCTGAACTGTCTGCCACAGAGAAAGTTATGATTTTTGTTTCAACTTTTTGTTTTGAAATAAGCTAAAACAAAAGTGCTTTTTAAAGATTTATAGTAGTCTTGGTTATATCTGACTAATTGCACTGCAAATTGTCTTACAGTTAATCTTTATTTACAACGTTCACATTAGTTGGGGTCTTTCATGTTAATCTTTCTTTTAGATTTGTGTATGTGATTTTTCTTTGTTCTTTGTCCTAGTAAAAAATCATTGAAAAATAGAATAGTGGATAAACATCTGAGCTCCCCCAAAAAATGAACATGTAGAAAACTTTTAGTTGTAAATAGGAAACATTTTTTGAGAACACTGCTATATAGTATAATTGTAGAAATGTAAGAGATGTTAGTATATGTGTAAAATAAGCTCAAGCTTTTGAGTGTGTATAAGAACAATTGAATCTTTTTTCTTTTTGCAGTGTTGAGCATCAAGGGCTCTATTCCAAGCCCCAATAAAAGTTAAAATATTGATCAACTAATAAAAATGTCTACTGGAGAAAGATAATTATTTGTTTCAACTTTGAGACTGGAGATACCACATTTTGCAAGATTGTTTTTCTTTTTGGAATTTTTTTCTCTTGGAATTACCAGGAATTCTAAGGTGCCACATTTACAACAGCTTGTTAAGTTTTATATGATTTTAATGATTTTTTTCTAGTTCCTTACTTCCCATGAGGTCAAGTTGGGGTAGTGTACCAGTGTTCGATTTTAGTCCAATGATAGATTTATTGAGCATGGTCTTCCTTGCTCCTAGAAGATTTTAATTGTACCTTAGAAGAAATATAATCCAAATACAGCCTAGAGAACATAACTGAGATATGCTGCATGTATATTATCAGAAATTATTTATATTAAAAATGTAGGCTTCCATAATGTGGTCACTGAGTATAGAATATATGGTTTTAAAGTTAGTTCAGACAATTACTATTCAACTTGTAAGACTTTACGGATTCAAAAGCAGAATGAGTCGCCTGAAGTTTCCTTGCAACTTGGAAGAGTGATGTTTAAATTTTCCTTAGGTTGTGTAATCAGAGTATCTTTATTAAAGGCTACCCCTTGGGTTTTGGGTTTTGAGTTCGGTAATTGGGTTAGTCTTAGGGGACTAAAGCAAGGAGAAATTGTCTCAATTAGAAAGAATGTTTGGGGACTAAGTGTTGTCATGGCAACTGACATACTGCACTCAACAGAGGAAGAGTTCATTTTCTATTGCTGCTGACTTTGAAACAGAAAAAAGCTTATACACTTACTACACTGAAATGACAAATATTTTTGGATTGTAAGGTCTGTGTTTAAATCATTTGGAAAGACATGCTTTTATCCTCATTGATCTGTATGCTGTTTCCCATAAGTAGGCAAATTATTCAATATATATGTATGCAAACACCAAGGGAGACCTAAAATTATAATACTTATCTGAGCCTTCCAAGAGCTTACTGGAGTTCTAGAATTTAAATGGAGCATTTAAGTAAAAAATGAGGTCAGGATGAGTAGTACAAAAAAGAGGTTTTCATTTTCCTGTTATCCATGCCAGTATACCACCTCCTAATAATAGAAATAAGGATTAGTTCTCTAAACAATGATGGCATAAATATGAAAGTTGAGATTTGTTAAACTTTCTCGAATCTATTACATCTCATATCTGTTACATTTGTGTCATGTTCCAGAGAAGTAATACTAAACAAAACCTTATGCCAGAAGTTCAAGTGTCTGTTGTGTAACTTTAGGTAAAGCTGTTGTGACAGAGCAGAGCAACTCTGTTCTGTAGCCAAGTGTTACAGCTCAGTGTTACAGCTCAGGGTTGCAGCTAAGTGCCGCAGCTAAGTGCCACTGCTCAGAGGCATGGCTAAGTGTTACAGCTGAGGCACAGCTGAGCCTTACAGCTCAGTGTAGCGCAACGCAGCTCTGATTCTCTGAAGACTCAAGGATGTGAGCCCCAGTGGGCTCGAAGAGTCTGAGCGCTCTATCAGAAATAAGCCTCCTTGTATAGCGCTCTACAGGGTAGGTGAGCATGCTCAATGATGCCGGGGGGGCGGGGGGAGGCGGGGGGGAGTTACAGAACATTCCCCAAGCACATGCCTTGTGAGCATGCTCAATGAAGCAAGGGGGCGGAGCTTAACAACCTTCTTGTGAGGGGGCAGAGTTTATCAGAACATTCCTAAAAGGTCACACAGTTCAAACAGTCACAAACCATTTTGATACATTGGGCAGGAGCCCAGCAGCACAAACATATTTCCAAAACAAAACATTCTGTGGGAAAAAAAATGGAGGCAAGGTAGGGGCCTGTCTTATTGTATAGCACTTCTCTATCAAAGCAAACAATTTGTACATTTCGGGTTTCTTGCCTATAAAGTGGGACAGTGCTAAAATTTTTGCCACTATGTAATAAGATACAGGCCTGTCCTGAATAAGAAAGGCTAGAAGGTAATGGTCATCGCCAAGGATAGAACTTAAAACATTGTAATTCCCAGGATTGTTCATCAGTGGACAGGGTGGCTTTGTAAGAAACTGATCCCTGTGTTAGAACAATTAGAAGTTAGGTGGGGATCTGCTGAAATGTAATATCTACACTGACTAGGCCACATGTTGTTTTAACCTTCTTTTAAGTACACAAAGTATGCTAGTTATCCGTTGCTGTGTACCACACCACCCCAAAACTTAATTGCTTGAAAATAATGGGAAGTATTTATGTTGTTCACAACTGTGCAACTTGTGTAAGGCCAAGCAGGGTTGCTGTGCTCAATGTGGCATCAACTGTGGCAGCTTGACAAGGGGCTGAAATACCTACATTGAGGATGGCTTCGCCACATAGCTGGCTGGCAGGTTGGCCCTGGCTTTCAGCTGAGAACTCAGCTCGGGCAGAGGAGCAGGTGTTCTCCATGTGGTCTGGGCTTCCTCGAAGCATGACAGCTAGTTTCCCAAGGCCAGAGGCCCAGGAGAGACTGGCAGAAGCTATGTGATTTTTTTCTAACCAATTTTTTAAAAGACATTTTTGAGGGCTAGATTTCTGTTAAAATAAACAAATTCCATTATTTTATCTCAGGTTACCATGGAAATGTAACTGTAGACACAAATTTTAATAAATTGCATTGTTGCTCAGCAAGTAAGATACACACTTTTGTTTTCTTTGGGGGGAAATGCTTAACTTAGTAGCCGTAGGACTTTAAATTAATATCAGATTAGTTCTAACCTCTGACATTTTTTATTTTTGAAAGTATATCCATTACCTTTTAAGGATTATAGTAAGAAATACAGCCTTTTTTTCTTTTGCAGTGCTGAGGCCTTTTATTTTTTATTTTTTATTTTGATACAGTGTATCATTAAGTTGCCCAGGCTAGCCTCAAACTTGTGATTCTCCTGCCTCAGCCTCTTGAGTTTCTGGGATTACAGGTGTACACCACTGCACCCTACATAAACTCATTTTTAAATGGCTCTTGTGAAAGAGTAATATAAAGTATTACCTCTTCTATGTTTGGATGTGGGAGGGGGAGTTTGTGGGATTGAACTGAGGCCTTTGCACTGAACTACCTCCCCAGTCAGTTTTTTATTTTTTATCTGAGACAAGGTTTTGCTAAATCACTAATTTACCCTAGACAGGCTTGAATTTGTGATCCTCTTTCCTCAGCCTCTCAGAGTGCTGGGATTATAGATATGCACCACCATGCACACTTATCCATGCTTATAGGAGCTCATGCTTTAGGCACTCTGAGAACTAGTAACTTTTGGAAAATTATCATGAGTCTAAGTTTCATGTTATTATTACTTTTTGTT